TGTATTCTTAATCCGTTCGATATTGAATTAGAAACTTGGCAATTTTGGACACTCGACAAATCGAACGTATTTTGAAACTCGTAATAACATATTGACGGTAATAAACACCATAATTCCGTGCCATGGAATTTATATCGATAATGACACGTCGATATCAAAGATGTAAGGAAAGAAATATTTCTTTGTCCAAGTTGTAAGGTTAAAAAGTCGATTAGAACCTTAATGTGTTATAATGGAATGTGATAATCGAACGAGATAACTTAACTTGTCGGAAATTGTATCGAAAAGGATACCGATTTCGTTCGCTTTGATCTATTATGTCGCTTTAATGTCAAGTTTCAACATTCTGAGTAATTTCACTTAAAGCTATTATCTTTCGTTCGTGCAACATGATGTTCGGATATTAAGATATTAAGATATTCGAGTAATGGAGATCTGAATAAAGCAGCTTGACTTCAAGTGGATAATTCGATATTCCTTCGAAATAACGTAAGCTAATGGTGTAGTTTAACTTTCAATTTTCAATTCTCACTGTTCCATTCTTTTTCTTTTCTTTTTCTCTTTAGGAAAAGATCTCTCAAAATTAACTTCATTGATCTAACAATCATTCATTTAAATCAAGTTGAAAGAACATCGATTACTTCATAATAACATATTTGTAGTATATTTAATAATATATTATATTGTGTTTAAATAATATTACAGATTTTAATTATAATATATTTTACAAAAATGTCGTTTTGCTAATTTGTTAAATTGAAGGAAATAAAAATTATATGAGATAAATCGATCGTTTAGTATTCATATTAAGTGACAGATAAAAACACGATGTGTCATATTTAATTAAATTTTCGAAACTCGTACTCGTACGTTTGTTTGTTCCAGAAATTTCGTATCTTGAAGATGTACAAAATATATAGTATGTTGCATTCATAAAATTCAGTTTCAGATATGCGTTAATGCAATTTGACTGAAATGAATTAGTAAAGTAGATTAGATGCACGAGCAAACGAGAAAGATTTTATTGAATAAATACATCTTTCAGAAGAGAATACATTTCTTAAGAATGAATATCTGAAATTTATTTTTTCTCTTTTCTTCCAAAAATATTATTTAGAAAATCTTTCTTAAAATCTTTATTTTGAAATTTATTTTATAATACAAGGAACACGTTTGCATTAAAAGTTTTTAATACAACAGTTATTTTTAGTCTTGGTAGTGCAATGATTTCATTATTACGAAAAATGGTTCCCTCGAAATTATTAAAATGATTTGTTTTATGATATCAATGTTGTACTAATCTCCCGTATTAATTGCATCGAGTTTGAAATAAAAATTTCTGCCCGACCATTTCGAAAGTGTGCAATTGAATTTCATACTCCAATTTAAAAACAACTGTTTTACAATCAAATAGATATAGTATATCAAATCATTGAGATTTGCTCATGGAAATTCAATTTTATCATTTATAAAATTGGATTTTAAATTCGTCCAGAGAAATATTTGCAGTTTCATGTTAGTAATAAAATCAAAGGGATTTTCACGTTTTATTAGCTAGGTGTCATTTTTTAGGTTTATCTCTAGATTATGTGCCTTTGACGTTGAAAAACAATTATGCTTATTTTGATAAAAAATTTCGAAACAGCGTGAACGTTAGAGATAAAATGTTTGACCACGCTCTTTTCAATCTCATTCATTCGAGGAAATACAAAATTACTAACGTGTCGATCGTTCGACTAATTCATTGGCAAATGTTTCATTTGTTTTTTCGTTCAACTTTTAATTCTTTCGTATGTGAAATTAACTCGAATCTTCGTACGTTTGCTCTGAGCAAGTAATTTAAATTTTTGGTGAAATTTTATTTACATTATTAAAAGAGCGCAGATTTTATAAACACTTGTAAGAAATTTAAAGATCTGTAAATACACGACAAAATATACAAAAATATACAGAGTTTATTATAATAATTAACAGATGAAACAAATCCCATTTTTTTTCTCATGATAATCGTGAAAATACAAAAATGAATTTGCAATCTAAATATAATAATAAATTTCGCCATCGTGTGAAATAACATAATGTCTTTTGCAATTTATTTAAATAGATACCTCGATAACTTTAATGGTAACAATATTGATTTCTTTTAATTGTTTTTCATTTGTCATCTTCAAATTTATTGAATTTGGAAAATGGATTTGTGAGCGAAAAATGATATTGAAAACTGCGTCATCCTGATGGATAACAAAAGAAACAAAATCTACTTATTACATGCATTTAGTATTATTTTCTTTCATAATGTTTCAGAAAATATTGCATGGTTTTTTTTAACGATGCAATAATATGATTAATTGAAACGATTATATAGAATAAGATTACATTGAATTACCTTTACAACTGATTTCATTTTTGCGATAACAGTGATATTAATTAATATCAATAAATTCTTTTTACAATTGGCTTTTAAATTTTTATTACACAATTCTGTCAAAACAAATTGACAGGTTTTTAATCGATGTGTAACGATCGTCATAATGAGACTCAGTCTATAAGAACAACATTTTGAAAATTGTATGACTAAAAATTATTAAAATTGAAAGGCTTTGAGAGAAAATATTTTTACTTTCTCAGCTAATAAAAAAGTTCATTTATTTAATTAATTATTTAGATTATTAAGTCATCATTTAATTAATTAATTTATTTAATTCATTTTATTCAATTAAAATTTTTTATTTTGTATAGATTTTCACAAAAGTTTACACTAAAAATCAATCAATTATCAATTAATTATCGTAGCTGCAATTAATTTAAAAAATATGATACTTTAGAAAGTAGTTGATTTTTTATCACTTTTCTTGAGAAAGGTACTTGAGAAATCTCTGAAAGATAAAGAAATGGTACTTAAATTTATCCTAGCCTACACTTAATTATTAAATTATATATTAAATTAAATAAAATATTAATTTAATATATTATATTAATAATATCAATAATACATTAATATCACATTATTTGATATATATTAATAATATATTGAAAGATATTATTTAATGTATTATTAAATTAAATTAAATTCTATTGATTTGTATCGTATCTCATATTATATTATATCTATCTTATATTATACTTTCTAAATTATATTTGTATCTATATTATTCATTAACATGATATTATTCGCGTTGGCGTAAACTTTCTGTGATCATTTCTTTTTATCTTTTTTTTTTTATTATAAAGATAACGCAATAATCCAAAGAACTTTAGCTGGAAAGAGCGATGGATTTATAATCTTCTTAATCTACATGTAACATGCACATATGACGATTTATTACACATTATTAGCGATAAAAATATTATCAAAATAGAATTAGCTTGATTATTTGATCCTGCTTATTAATTTTCCAGATAAGATTATTGAAAAAATTTTTTGATCTCTCCTTACTGCGAGAAACAATAGATACATCGTCCAAAAACATTTCCACGCGATCGTTCACACTATAATACAAACAAATTGTTTAAGTTACGTTGATAAAATGTTTTTTACACAGTCATGTTTTACAAATGTCTCTGCAACTGAGTGTCGTTAAATATTTAAATTCTACATGCTGATAGAACTTTATCAAATTCTACATTTCACTTTACTACATATTATCAGAGTGTTGTTAAATAATGTAAAATTGTGCGGAAAAATTTTGGAATGACTGTTATAAATTTTTCATAAATTTCGTACTTTTCATTCCAATCATTTTTGGTATATAGTATTTACATTTTATTCGTCGCCGACTTTAATGTGTTTAATTATTCATTGCACTGCGCCATACGAAGGATAAATTTTTTAAATGTATCTTCTTAAGCTTGATAAACTGACTTCTCATTCAGAGGTGTGCTGATTGAAGTGCGTTGTAATTGAATTTTTTATTTTATACGTAACTTTTTATTTTTCAATATTATCATTCGATATTAAATTAGATTATATTTAAATTACATTCGTAAATATATGAATTTATGTAACTACTTTTAATGTCAGAAACAATTGACATATTTTTATTTTTAGTTTTGTCCCATAATATATTATACTTACAAAATTAAACATTTCATTTGAAAATCTTACTTGGGAGTAAATTTGTAGGTAAATTCTATCATAGTGTGTAAATTAGCGATTGATTAATAATTAAAAGAACTTTTTATAGAATTACAAAGGTATAATTATAAATAAAAAGAAAAAGAAGACATAGTCGTAATATGTTTTATAATATATCCTAAAAATATTGGTATCGAAATTTATAATTGTATTTAATCGGAATTTTAGTAAGAAGAAGTTAAATGCTCGAATTAACAGACACTTTCTTAACTGTTAATATAATTCTCATCTTCGACAAATCAAATGATAAATTTGCCAGTTTGTTTCTGCTTTCTGGCAAGTTGAAATACGAATGGTGCATGCAGCTACGAATAATATACGAGAGTAACTTATGTTCTCTATTGTTCGAAAATGTACGATTGTTCTGAGTTTTTAGAAAAATAGAAGATAATATAATGATCATATTTCCCGTTAAAAAGTTTATTTTATTTGTTTCG